AAATATCGTCAAGCAATAAAAAGTTCACTTTTAATGATAGGGAATTTGTAATAATATTTGTATTTGTTTATCATGTATAACTATAGTAACATTGGAAATTCCCAGTTGAAGGCATACAATTAAATTTAATTAAGCTAAAATCCCATTTATGATTATGAAATGCAAATTCGCATTCTTTTGGAAAACTAAATTATACACAGATTCATATTTATTTTTCCCAACTATATTTATCCTTTTTAAGTTTTACATGTTGTTTTACATGTTGTTTTACATGTTGTTTTTTACAATGTGATGACTAAGACTCCTGGCGAGTAATCCCATCTTACACATGCATTTCAACTACTTTGTATTCAACAATCGCGTCTTGCCTTTCAAAAATCAACATCCGTTGGGGCACCACAACAGATGAATTTTAAAATTTTTTATGGCATTAGACAAGTAGATTTTGTATACAACTACGTAATTTCCTAAGCATAAATTTTAATATTTAACACTTTATTTTGGTTTCAGGTAAGTGGGAATAGTTAACGGTGTTCGCGTAAGTATTTATTTTACCTTTTTAAGTGTCTGAGATTAAGATATTTACAGTTACTGTTGCCATCAAGAGTGTAACATGTACTGAGAATATATTTGGTTTGTAAAAAATCCTGTAACTAGTATCAAGCACTAAAAAGTTGCACCAAACCAATTTCTTTACATTTTAAAATTAATATCTGTACAGGGTGCTCTATTTCCTTTGAGTTTTGCCTAACTTGATTTTTTTAAATGGAACATCATGTATATATAATTAGTAAGAGAGCGGACAATGTGTGACTTTAACCCGAAGAATAGGTCAAATTTTGGTAGAGATGTGTACGCGTTCAAAAATGTAATGTGTATAAACTATGCAAAATATAATTATTATGTATAGCAAATATATCGTATTATCCTCGCGAAGATTTGTACAAAGGGTACAAATCTTTTTAAAATCCATAAATCATGTGAACAGGTTAAATAACGAGAAAATAATTAAGTTAATTTAGTTCTAAAGAAATGAAATAACACTCTCGTCCATCTCTAGTCCATCCGTCGACATCGGTTGCGTTTATCGAATTTCTATTGGTCAGAATTCAAACTGCAGCCCTGTTATGAATGGAGCGTGAGTTGGACTATTCTATCATGTGCGTCGCCTGAGGGTATTCCTTACATTGACTTCCTAATTTCCAATTAAAAGAACGACACTATTTTTAACCGAACTTTATTTAAATGTAGTATACAATTTCTGATTTTCTAAATATTTTATAACGCCTAAAAATGTATGTACCGTGGAATTTTCGTGAATTATCACGTAAATTTCCGATGCATACCCGACACGCCACTGCGTCATGGGTAATGTATCTAGGTTTATGAATGTCATATCTATGTTCAAGGTTAAAATCACAAATTGTCCGCTCTCTGATAATTAGTGCATTTTTGAGTTTCCCTTTGAATGACAGCTTTTTGAATTTGTCAAATATCTCCGAAGCTAAACACAGCAGTAAAAAACACCATTTTTTTAAACATTAAATAATACAGAAGCGTTACGTTTTAGATATGATAAAGAAAATAAAAGCATGTGGTTCATTTCAAGTTGCACAGAAAACAATAGCAGGAAACTGTAAATAATTCTCAGATAACGTGACTACGTAAATTTATATTGTCATTTGTTTTGGAACTTGCGATGTGGCCATCCTTTATTGGTCGATGATTTTATCTCCAAACGAATCCAGTTGAATCAAGTCATTACAAACCTCTTGATCCGAGATAGTACTCGAGGTAATACTTCGTTTTTAAATCTTTATAATAATGATTGTGAATTATCTAAATATATACAAAAGACAAATAATCTAATTATTAAAATTGCTTATATGTTATATTATAAAATGCCAATCACAGGTCAACAAGGGTCAAGAAACAGACACACTAATATGCATTCCCGAAGGATTTTGGTGCGCTGAATCCGAATATGGCCGCAGGATTGCTCTATCACGTTAGGTTTTTGTGATATCCTAACCTAAAAATGCAAAAAACAGTTTTTCGTCATATTTGAGGTTATGTAGTAATTATTCTATTCGATTCTTTAAAAAAAAATCATATAACTTAAAAGTACAAGGCTCCCTCTTTCGAATGCCGTTGAATTTGCTCAAATATCTTTTTTTTTCGTTGAGATATCACATGTTGAAATTTCTAAGTTTATCAGTTTCTTAATATGCGAAAATCTACTAAGGATCCCTTAGACGTCAAACAGTTGAATGCAGCTCAGAAACTTCATACTCAGAAACCTTCAATACATACGAACAAAACTCACAAACTCCAAATCCACAAACCCAAACCCACAAACCCAAACCCACAATCACTAAACTCACAAACCCCAATCCCACAAAACCCGAACCTACAAACTCCAAGCTTACAAACCCCAAGCCCACCAACTCCAAACCCACAAACCGTCTGGGTATGAAGTTTCTGAATTGCAATCGACTGCTTGATGTCTAAGGGATCCTTAGTAGATTTTCGCATATTAAGAAACTGAAAAACTTAAAAATTTCAACATGTGATATCTCAACGAAAAAAATATTTGAGCAAACTCAACGGCATTCGAAGGAGGGAACCTTGTACTTTTAGATTCAATCTATTAGTTTTTTGAAAAAGAATAGATGGCATTACTACATAACCTCAAATATGACGAAAAACAGTATTTTTTGCACTTTTAGGTTAGGATATCTCAAAAACCTGACGTGATAGACCAATTCTGCTGCTAGATTCGGATTCAGCGCACCTAAATCCTTCGGAAATATGTATTCAAGTTTCTGCTTCCAAAACAAAGTTAAATTTTGTTGGTCTGTATAATTCGTCGTTGTAAATGTGGCAAAATGCCCGAACAATGTTCCTAAACAAGTATATTAGATTGTCGTCAAAGTTTAACTGGTTTTTTTAATTGTTTAAATTAAAAAAGGAACTTCGTCATGTATTTGACACGCCTTAGAGACTTTTACCTTATAAGAAATACTGCTTTAAGGAATCACCCGACCCTATACGTCACTTTCCATACGGGCTTTTCGTTTTTTATGGCCGGGACAACTTTTTACGACTGACGGTATCCTCCAAGAAGGCTAGAACCACTACATTTCGAGCTGTTAGTGTTTCAGCCACGCTGGAGATCGTCAGGGTTATAACAAATGGGATTCCCGTACCGTCATAAAATTTATGTTTGTCCAGTAGCTACCCGGGGACAAACTGATGGCCACTGTTAGGTAAATAAAGGTAGAGCCGCGCTTATATACGCTTGTCATAATTCATATCAATTAAGACTTCCACTCCGGCCTTTGGGAAACTATTAGTCGTCTCGCAGACCGATCGACTTTCCTATTAATTGAAGTGCTGCTTCGATATTTTGGTCATTTGACGAAACTTGTTCTCGATAAGTCAATCAGTTCTTTAATACATAGATCTCAAATGTTCTTCAGTTGACAAATAACTGAAGTTTTTAATTCGTAACTAAAAAAAGAAACGTACAAGCCAAAGTGGCATTTCATTTTAATTTGGGGTTGAGTAGGTAAGACACAGGCGATGCACTACCAAACAAGGAAGAAAACATCGGCGGGAATTAAATTAGAATTAAATTAAATTAGAAAATTAGCAGAAGTAAGAGATAGTTGGATTGAACGTGGTAGCGAAGTACCTTGGCTTGCACATAGTCCTGATTTAAATCCACTGGATTTTGAGGCTATCTTAAATAGTTATTAATAGTCAAGAACAACTGTGGACAAATATTCAAGTTCATATTATCAAACATCATAGAACTTTATTTAACATCAGACAAAATTTAAATAAAAGGCTAAGAAAGTGCATTGAAATCACTAATGATTGCTTAGAGAATCTTCTATAATTAATACCTGCTAATTTTCTAATTTTCGCCGAATCTCAAAAACCTTAAAATGTCTGTATCTGGAAAACGGTTGAGTTTATAAATTTCTAACAAGTATACCTTTTTTATTTAGAATTCAACGTAGTTCAATAATTTCTAATTAAAAAATTCAAAATTGTAAAATATAAAAAGTTAGACATATTTTTTCATTGATATAACTAGCGCCCCCTAGACGTGACCCCAATACTGGTTGCATATTCGTATTTGCCACCTCAGAAAACGGAGAACTACAAATTTTCAAAACAATCGATCAAGACTCAAAATATTGCAGAAAATGGAAAATATTTTTTCAACTTTAACACCCTGTAAAATGAAAAGGAGTAACAATTGATTAAGGCATGTTTGGCTCAATCGCTATATTTTGGCGTTAACATTCTGCCATTAAACTCTATGCCATTAATAATGACTCACCCTGTATTTGAGTGAAAATACTCAGTTTTAGTTAAAAAAATTATCAAATTGCTAAATACTAAGAGAAAATATACTCAATAATTTCACTCAGTGGATTCACTTCGTACCTTTATTGCTTTCACTCACACCAATTTTTTTTTTACTGTGTACGCATAGTGATCTGTACTGTATGTTCAACTAACTTGGTCATAAAAGAAATAAAGATATTATTCACCAAATATAAGTACTGCAACATAATTTTGCGTTAATGAAGCCAGACTTAGACCACTAACAGGCGAGGGAGCGCATGAGCACAAAACATTATTTTGAAATGAAACATAACCAAACTAAAATAAACAAGTGAACTAGGACAATAATGCTATATGTAAGTGTAAGTTAATTACTAATTTTAATTGTTTATGTTTCTTGTGTTAATGTGTATTTATTGTAGCTGTAATATCATCCTGTAATTGGGTTTCTCCCGTTGGGTGAATTAAATTAAATAAATAAATAAATAAACTTATTATCTTTTCTTACATAAGGCTCAGCCAAACTTTTTTGCGTTAATGGTCTTGCCACAAGACATAGTCTGAAGCGTAATTTATATTACGCTTCCATTTATTTAATTGTTCAACTACTGTAATATCAAACGTACAGATGAACTTGCTAAAAAATATTCTTGCGTCTTATTTTCGTCATTTCCAGTCCAACTAACTTGACGAGTACAAATACTTTGCTTTTTTTTGGGTCTTCGGTACATGTATCAAATGGAGGGCCCAAATCTGAAAGTGAAAATTAAACATTAGTAGTCTATTGACTGGGTGATTTGAAAACTATTGTAATTTTACCTTTGCGTAGAAAACGGATAAAACTTTTGCTTATAATATATAGGTAATATTGGTTCGTTGGATCTAAATCGAGTAAGATTGCTAGAGCGTCTTCTTTTTGACTTCCTTTGTTTGCTTCGCTCAGATGATGCTTCATAACCATTACACGATCTTTCTCTTTTCACTCCTGATGATGTAAAAGGCTCTTCATCGAACTGTATATGGATATCTTCATCAAGCCACTCAATACGTCTATTCAAAAATGCATCCGTAGATCTGGTTTGTTCTAACGCTACTTAAAATGCGGCATAAAGTTTGTTGGACACTTTTCTTTGATATAATGCTCCGCTGTGGATATGTTTTCGGTTTTTTATTAGACGAAAGGTTAATTCGCGTTTGTTAATATTTATAGAGCTCATATCGTAATTTTCGCTAGAATGACACTTTTAAAATATCCGAACAGCTTTTATAATTGTTCAACCACAAGCAAGTGCAGATAATATAAAAAAATAACAAAAACTGGTGGGTACACATCCTGTATGTGGTAAAAAATATTTTTATTTACATTAATTTTGCATTGGCAAAATACATTATACACTAGCCACCACTTAGCCACAGAAAAGATAAAAAGAACAGTCAATTTGAGTCACTAGAAACATATTTGTATATGCATATTTTTAAATATAAATTTTGAACAATAATAATTATTATGTTACTTGGTAGAAATCTATTATACTGTGTTGGGAAATATCCCATTTTCACACTGAAATGCATCGTGCTTTAAATATTCATATGGCTACCCTGAACAATTTTTTACAATTTAGACCGAAATTTGGAAACTGTTTATTAATTTCATCAAGTTCTGTAAATGGTGACTACTACCCACTGTATGGGCCACAGCATGACAATCCGAAAAACGGTCGACTTTAAATATCCTTGGATCATTTTAGAGAAGCAAAAGCTCATGTTGATATATGCTGTAAACAACATAATTTTCGATGTTAAAGTTTAAAAAAATATTTGTTAAGTTAAATAATGACAGAGATGCTGGAGGACATATAGCCACCAAAAACCTCAGAATTTCGACGCCGTTGAATATTTTGGAAATTCGAAATTAGTTTCTAATTATATTTCAAAGAATATTTTATTTGAAAACCTTTTTCAAGTTAATATTTTTTATAAATTTAATTTTTTAGGAACAATACAATACAAAATTCAAAAATGCAATGTAATGTTTTTTTTCTTTTGATAACATATTGTAAATAAAATCATATTTATGACAAAAAAATTATATAAATATTTTATACAATAATTACAAATAACATGTTTCCATTGTAACTGAAAAACTGGAAATTATAAAAAGATCGCATGGACCATTGGATTCAATATAAAAAATATGCAATATAAAGAATCTCTTTACAACAATAAAATATTTTCACAAATTAAAAATTTATAGGGATTGACAGAAAACGAACAAATTGAATATCTTGTTTTGCCGCACCGTAAATTAGTTTAAGTCTTAAACAAGTGAAATTTTAGAACTTTTGTTTTCGCCAACAAATTTTTGTTGAAAAGTTGAAAATGTTGATTTTGAATAAGTTCACTGATGCAAAGAAGGTGACGATTGAAGAGTCAAATTACGACAAATTTTGGCATTATTAACCGTACTTACAATATCTCACTCAGTTGTAGGATCTTGGCATATGAAAACTTTTTGAAAGACGATATTGTCAACTTTCATTTTACCCAATTTCGAATTGACCTGTCAGTCAACTTCGTCATTATCTGTCGTATGGTTGTAGCAGCAGTTCATCAGCCTTAACACTGAGTGTTTCGATACCCATAAGGAGGATTTTTCTAATAGCGAGTTCGTTCGTTACTTATAACGATAATGTAGCACCTACTTTAGAAATTGCAAAAATATATATAAAATTAAGGATATAAAGTATTAGGAATGAGATTATCTTAAGTTGACTTGGATCTGTTATCTTATCAGATTTATATATTTCAAGAGATATTAAATGACACCAGATATTAGGTCAAATATTTATAGACATTGAAGGTCGAACTAAGAATCGAAAGTCAGGCAAAATTGTTCTTCGAACTACTTCATTTTGATAAATTACATCTTTCAAATGATCCTGTTCGGGCAGTGACGTTAAGCTAAATGTATATTTTTAATATCCTTTGTTTCATGACTAAAGAAGTTAAAGCAACTGCCTCACCTTTCGCATATTCATTTTATTGTTTCATATTCCGCTCTTAAGCCGGTATAAACTTAATCCGATTTCGACGAATGCACTCTCCTTTAGTATCTAAAGCCTCCCAAGAATGCGCGCGCGCACATTTATTTATCTTTACTTTCCATTATTCACCAACCTATGGGCTGTGGAGACTATAATCTTTATTGGTCGGTCTTAAATCTGGTGCCCGTAAAAACAACTTTCATGAAATGGGGCTGTACGTAAATTAAAATCATCAATTTTTTATTCGCAAATTGAGCTTCTATTACTCAGGCTTTATGCACATTGTGGTGGTTTATGTAAACGTAAAATACTTGTGAATAAAATCGATAAGTAGGATAATTTCTTTTTCTTCCCAAATTAATACGAAACTGGGGACATGGTGTCGTTTTTAGCGAAGGATTCTGCCATATCTTACTACGTTACTGAGATGGCAGTACCAATAATGACCAATAGTATCGGTTAGTTTCTTAAGTTTTATTGTAATGTGTATTGTATACTGTAGTATAACAACCCTAGGTTCGACAAAAAATAAGTAAACGTAGTTGTGGCCAAAAAGATGTGATCGTCATAAGGACTACCTACGTTGTGTGCATCTATTTTTTTAATGACTGGAAGGCGCTGGCTACTAACTTTGTAGAGGGGATGTATGGTTTAATTATATAAAACAAAAGCAGAGTAAATACACCTAACCTTTATTTACATACAATTCAAATTAAACATGTGACAAATAGAAAGAACAACAAAAACATTAACAACCATTAAACATAAAAGGAGAGTGCCAGGCTCACCTAGAGCTCCTGCGGGGAAAGAGCATGGCAGAGAAACCCACGATCGTTGCTCTTACCACCCAAATATAAATACAAAACAACCGCTAACCAAAGGCATAAATTAAGAACCTTTGCTAATGATAAATAAGACCTGTCTCATTTAATGTGTCACTAAATGTCATCTGTTACCTCATATTAGTCATACACACTTCCAAGTAAAACTGAAGAGGTTTGGTGTTAGTTAGCCGGCAGAGCCGGAAGGTACTGGAGTCCCATACGGGAGGCAATCCAGCTATAGTTGAGATTTCGGAAGATCCTTCATAACACTGGAGTCCCATACGGGAGGCAATCGAGCTTAATCCAGATTCGTTCCGCACGGGCGAAAATGTTAGTAAACTCAACAAGGCTCGTATAGACGTATGACATAAAGTGAGCACAAGAAATCAAAGAACAACTTAATCATGATAAAACAAGTTAAATGTGAAACAAAGAAGTCGTTAATGCAATATCTGGGCAGTCACGACAATATACATATTTTAACATGTAATAAATAATGAGCAATCTATAATAATAATTGTAACAATTTTATCTTAGAAAAATATACGCCCCTGAGCGTAAGACAATGAAGGCTAAACATATACAGAATTATTATCATGAAACATCTATATTTTACGTATAACGTAATCGTGGCAAAAACAAGTTAGATGTGAAACAAAGAAGTCGTTATTGTAATGTCTGGCAATCAGGACAATACATATATTTTTAACATGAAATAAATAATGGGCAAACTTTAAGTATAATTATAACAATTTTACCTTGGAAAAATATATGCCCTTGAGCATAAAGCAATGGAAGCTAAACTTACAAAGAATTATTATCATGAAACATCTATAATCATCACAATCATAAGATTATATAGAACAATTAACAACAAAGTACTTAAAGAATATTACCTGCTAACTAATAACACTTTAAACACTTAATTTTACACTACTTTGTCACACTGCCCGCCGATCGTCTTGCTACCTATCTGTACACTGTTCGCACTTCAACTGCCTATCTTCGACTCTTTAGGCTTCCTTCCAGAATGCCCCACCTAAGTGCTTGTTTTTTGTGCTTCCTTCACCGACCGTTAATATTACTTTTTCATTGTTATACAACACCTATGTAACAGGTGACGTCGAAGTTGATAAGATAAGTACGGTTTTGCACAATACTAAATTTCTTTAAAAAATAGAATAGGTATTTCAGGTATAGAACAACAATGTTTGACTTGATGTTTTAGGAAGAAATTTGTTTAATTTATTCGAATTAGCTAATATCTAATAATAGAATATGTTTTTGTTTAAATATCGCATATTTCTATCGGAATTGTGAAATCAGTCGTATATTTGTCTTTGCAATTGCTAATATGCAAACCTTTATAATGTACGTCGTTATATAAGAAGATTTTACACTTGTTTTGCACAAAATGATCGAAAATAAAAAATAACGAAATATTCTGGGTGTAAAAAAAGTATAAATCAGTATAAAGCAGAGTACACCAAAAACGAAATGAGAAAAAAAGTTCATATAAACATACGCACCTAAGTATTTGAGATACAGGGTGTGAGTTTCACTTTACCTTCGAATTGATTTTTCTTTTTTTATTTTGGAATATGTATCCTTTAATTTTTTCAATTTATTTGCAACACTGCAAACATGTAAATCAGTATAGTAGTACGACGAAGTTCTAGAAACTGATTGCTTAAATCTACATATTGTATCGCATGCTTCACTTTCGTTAGTTGACTGAATAGTTTTAGTTTAAAAATCACCTTTATTGATTTTTTTCTCATTTAAACATACACTACATCTACGTTAAATTTTTATACCTTTTTTTTTATAAATTAACAACTATTTCTGTTGCTAGCATATTCCGAAGTCTGTCCCCCATATCCGGGTCGACCTTCGAGAACACCTCTACGGCCCTGTTTCTTATCCGTTCGCTGGTCATCTTCAGGGAATTCGCCAAATTATCCACCAGCCTGCTTTTCCCACCTTCGTCCAGGACCTTATTCCAGAAAACCCTCGGTTGTGAATAGTTGTCGTCTTCACCCAAGTCGTAGTAATCCACATCACCTTCTACTTTTGCAGGTGGTGGTATCCAAGACATAGCATTCGGATCTGGATCGGGTCCTCCGAAGCTGTTAGGGTGATAGTTCGGGGCACCTCCTTGGTTGTTTACGGCATCCCTGCCGTCGCGTTGGAAATTAGACACCTGGAGAAGTAAAGCAAATGAGAGATCAGATAACATTTCTATAAAACAGTGGTTGTTCTTAACCTAATCGTACAACAAATAGTTATTTTTGATCTAGTTTGGTAATTGTCGCTTTTGTATTCTAGAAAGATTTTTTTAGTGCCAAAAAACCTTTTGAGTGTACAAAAGCGATTTGGTAACTGTCAAGCAAGATTTCTCAAGTGATGAACAATATTGAAGTGTCGAAACTTCAACTTATTCCTGAAAAATCTGCAGGATGATTTGGTTCATTACCTTATTCAATGTGGTATTCACAACCAGCTGTTCATAATTCGCTCCCAGACGATATCGGTGAGTGTCCTGGTAACTAATTAGCCTCCCTTGAAGAAGTCTGTCGGGCGAGGCTCCTATTCCGGGAGTCAAATTGTTGGGACTGAAAGCGATCTGTTCTATATCAGCAAAGTAGTTGCCGGGATTCTGGTTCAACACGAATTTTCCAACTTTGATTAAAGGGAAGTCTTCGTGTGGCCAGACCTTGGTGATGTCGAAGGGATTGAAGCTCTGATGTTTGGCTTCCTCGGGGGTCATCACTTGAATGTAGAATGTCCAAGAGGGAAACTCCTTCGTCTTTTTCCCGTTTTCTATCGCGTTGTAGAGGTCTCGGAGGGCGTAGTCTGGGTCTTTGCCGGCTATTTCCTGCGCTTTGTCTGGGTCCAGGTTTTTTATACCTATGTAGATCGTCGCAAATTAGTAGGTCAAGCCCTTATCCTCATATGGCGAGAATAATGGAATTTTAGTTTTAACTAATTTGAATCTGTACGAACCAGTTTCGACATATCAGAGTGTTAAAGTTAAGAAATTACTTGTATTGTAACAACTTCGTTGTTTTCTAACATACCGAGTTAAAATTTTGTTCACGATTATATTGGAACGGTAAGTGAATTGCTTACCGTTTTGTTAGCCTTAGCAACCAGTAAGCGCATCCTACTGTCGTAGAAACAAACATGATAAGTGAACTAAAAAAGCTTGATCGTGCAAAAAAATTTATGAAGTTTTTGAGACGTTCTGTCATTGCAATGTTGTCAGACTCGTCAGAGCTAGAAGAGATTGAAGTTTTACGCCTGTGGCAGTGGTTGCTACTATGTGAAGCAAGAGAGGGCAGTAATAAAATACATTTTTGGATGCATCCTCTTACTGAAAAGAGGATAAAACAAAATAGTTTAAAGATGTTTATTAAAAATAAAATTTCAGCAATTTTACAAGGCTAAGCATATCCATTTGTACAGCACAGCTACAGTCTTCTAGTAACAAGAGTAAATACGGAATGGAATGTTTTCACACAAAACAAGTGGTCGCTATTGCACATCCTACGACAAGAAACATGTCAAAACGCTTTGCTAGGCGATTTTGGTTCAAAGTAATGGCGGATTTCCACTAAACGGACAGTTGAGTTTATGTCCTGTTTGTGTTTTATATAGAACCTGAAAAACAAAAACAAAACTGAAACAAACCCAAAACTCTTGTTTTCATCAAGCGGGCTACATTTTGTTCGAGTTTTGTTTTTGTTTTCGGTCCTTTTCCACTGGTTGTCGCGAAGAAGTCAGAACACATTTTTCCAATAACCAACCAACATCTTTAGAGAAGATTTTTTTATTCTTAGTTATAGCTGGTTTATACTGAAATCCTTGGAAAAAAAGTAAGTGTATATATGTACGGTTGAAGTATTTACTTGGTTAGTTAGTTTGTATACTAGCCAAGTAATCTTAACCGTACACAAATATATTTTTTAATAATGAATGAATTAATGAAGTACTTGGAAAAAAAAGTAAGTGTCTAAAAAGTGCTCCACCTCGAACTCCATCGATGGATATCTGGGAAACCGCTCTAAGGATTTTTTTGACATTGTGATTGTGTGATACGGACCGTGGGGCCCACCAAGTTAAAATATTTTCAAGGTCTTCGTACTTCCGGTTATACCGGAAGTCGATACTAACTTTCTTATTTTAAATGGAACCCCCTGTATATTATTGCATTTTTCATCCATTTTTAAGTTGTAAACATATAGCACACTCCATACTTAGGATTGACCGTTTCCGAGATATTTCGATTTTTAAACAAAAATTGACAGATGCAGACTGTCAGCAAAATTTAGTTTTCCCGGTTTATTTCTTTGTGCAAATTGGACATTTTGTAGAGGAAGACTTACTTTATCAAATTTGACATGAATATTTTCCAGTTTTTATACGGGATGGTCAAAAATTTTTTATCGAATATGAAGTTCAGAATATGTGGAAAACTCGAAATTTTTAAATGGAAACCCTTAATTTTTTTTCAATAACATACAGGGGGGGTCCATTTAAAATAAGAAAGTTAGTATCAACTTCCGGTATAACTGGAAATACGATGACCCTGAAATTTTTTTAGCTTGGTAGGCTCCACGGTTCGTATCACACCATCACAATTTCAAAAAAAATCTTTCGAGCGGTTTCCCAGATATCCATCGATGGAGTTCGTGGTATATGTACGGTTAAAGTGTTTACTTGGTTAGTTAGTTACTTTGTATCCTAGCCAAGTAAACACTTAGTAGCCCTAGTAGTAGTAAACCGTACTCATATATATTTTTTAATAGCTATAATTCATTAATGATTAAAATATTGTTTTGGGAAGAAGAAAACGCCAACATAGATATTGGGTTGGATCACTTAAATAGAAAACACAACACGACCGTTTTCACTAAACAGACTTGAGTTTCAAAACACGACGAAACCTTTTGATGTGACCGCTTTCGAGCGGGACCCGAAAAACAAAACTCCAACTGCCGCAAAACACGCCAGTCTTCAAAAAGTTTGCGAAAAGTTACAGATCTGTTTTATTCGATACAAGTTTGTGTTTTGTTTTTGTTGTGTCCGTTTAGTGGAAAACCGTCTTAAAACACGTTTATTAAATGAAAACACCGTCGAGCAAAACCATCTTGACACTACCTGTTTTAGTACGTTTTAAAAAGTTTTTTGTTTTGATTTATTAATATGTGTTGGATACTATTTAATACATTGGAGAATAGTTTCTAACAAAATTAATCAAAAACATTTTGTGTGAAACCGTGTTTGTTCCATCAGTGTGCTGCCGGACTAAGCTGTCGATTTAAATTGGAATTTCTCAGTTTTTAACGTTTTGTTAATTAACTATAATGAAATGGGAAATTAAAAAAATAATCATATAGTCTTGTCTCTCGTACGAGCTATATTCAGTTTAGCTTGTGACAACTTCTTTGAACCTAAGACCCTGACTTTTTCTTTACATTCTTCTGCGGTACCGGTTATGAAATATTTATTAAATCATCCTTCATAATCCGTCCTAGACGTATAACGCGAAAATTATACCCTCACGGTGGAATAAGTCGCGAGGAGAAATGAAAAATAAATAAACATCGACGAGTGATAATTGCGGTACCTATCATGATAATGTATACGGCGATGGATTTCATTGTGCAGTGCACGTCTGGCATTGCATCTAAGGCACCCGCCAGGAAATCGAGGAAATATAGGGCAGTGTCGTGCGCTCGTATTGAATTATTGAAACGTTTTTGCGTCCGACAGTTTAAATTTCATCACGAAGTGTAACAATGAAACAGTTTTCATGAAAGAAGGTAACATATTTTTCGACTAATAAATTATACAGTTTGTTTTCAAGACTAAAATGTCTTAATAATTAATACTTTCAGAATTCATATTTTTATTAACTTTCAGAATTTCTTGTTTAGAAACGATTGCGTCTAGCTCTGTTGTATATACAGTACGCGCCTAAAGTTAGAATAAATTCAGTAAAAACAAAAATTTTTTTTGGGAAAAATCCGCGAACAGATCGATTTTTAATTAAAAAAATACATATTTTAGCATAAAAGGCGATTTTCAACCGTCATATGTTTTCGAGTAATGACGTCATCGACATTTTTTTTGAATAGCAACCCCCTATTTTTTTTCTTGATTCTGAAAGATCGTTTCATTGTCGATCCGACAGTATTAAAATGTTGCCATCTTACATAGCAAAGTTTTCGAGTAAATGACGATTGAATGTTAGAAAACGTAAATTTTATTGGTTAAATAAATAACAATTCCTAAGTCAAGCAAATACAATTCATTAAGTTTTCTACTTAAATTAAGTGTTCGAATTGCCACCCACCGACTTCTTGACAATACGCAAGTCTGTGTAGAAATCCTTCTTGTACATTATGAATTATTTCTGGGGTAATTCTGTGTATTTCATCTATAATACAATTTTGTAATTCTTCTAAATTATGTGGTCTATTAACGTACACTTTGGACTTTAAGTAGCTCCATAAGAAATAGTCCAGGGGTGTAAGATCTGGGGATCTGGAGGCCATTCTATCGATCCTCGTCTGCCGATCCACCTCCTAGGAGAACAATTGTCCAAATCTCGAACAGGGCGCGCATAGTGCGGAGGTGCACCGTCTTGCTGAAACCATATGGTGTCATCAGGAATATCAGGGTCATTATCGTTAGGAAAAATTACTGCAAGCGCTGGAACAAGGTCATTTTGTAAAAATTCTAAATATCTTTCTCCTGTAACGGTTCCTTCAAAGAAGAAAGGCCCTATTATTCTGTTGTCAATTACCTATTCCAGCCCACACATTTAATTTCTGTGGGTGTTGGGTATGTGTCTCTGCCATCCAATGAGGATTTTCCCGACTCCAATACCTGCAAGTTTGACGGTTCACTGTACCATTGAGATAAAACGTGGCCTCGTCTGAAAAAGTATTTGCCGGTGTAAATCTCTATTTACTTGACATAAATACATCATAATTTCACAAAAGTGTAGGCGGCGGTCGGGATCGGGATCGTCTTCATTGAGTTCCTGCACAAGTTGAATTTTGTAGGGATGATATTTTTCCTGCCTCAAGATACTGTGTAGTCTGACTAATTTCATTGTTTAATGCAACCAGTCGTAAAGTATTAGGAGGATTATCTACCGTACTTATCAAAATGTTCTGTTTGTGATCTTCGCTAACGCTTGACCGTCCAGGTTTTGGAATATATAATATATAATATAATATATATGAAATTTAGATTCTATCTTACCTGTTGATTGGCTGATACGGCGGACCTGGATGTTTTTGATTAAATAAATCGCAAACTTTCTGCTGCGTTCTAGTCTTATCCCCGCATCCGATGAGAATTAAAATTTCAATTCTTTGTGTGACAGTTAAATGTGCCATAATACCTACTTTAAATTCAACAATAATTTTTATATCGCTTACAATGCTTAGAAAGTCGGTACGACAGTGACACTTTGTAAAGATTCACACCTACGTGATCCATAAAAAACTTCAGGCATTTCGAAAAACTAAATTTGATAACGTTTTTGCTTTATTTTAATTGATTTGGTTTTCTAACATTCAATCGTCATTTACTCGAAAACTGCTATGTAAGATGGAAACATTTTAATACTGTCGGATCGACAATGAAACAATATTTCAGAATAAAAAAAAAATAGGAGGTTGCTATTAAAAAATATTCGATGACGTCGACTCGAAAACAAATGACGGTTGAAAATCGCCTTTTATGCTAAAATATGTATTTTTTTAAATTAAAAATCGACCTGTTCGAGGATTTTTCTGTATTAATTTTGTCAATGTGGCCGTAGAAAATGAGATATTTACAATGTTTATATTCATTACTGAAAAGTTTGAATTATTATTTTTTTGCAAATTTACTACATTTATTAAAAATGAATTCTCAGTGGAAAAGTAAATGTCTTTTTGATTTTTGGGGAAACTTGAAAAGATTCTAAATTAGTAGTATGACTTCATATATGTCAATAATGAATATATAAACATTCCATGGTAATGTTGATAAAATCAGTAACAGTATTGATAGAACCATTGTTTTTTCTGTATACAGGGTGTTTGGAAAAGTTCATACAAAATTTAAGGAGGTGGAAGTAGATAAAAAAAGTTCCTATAAACATTGGTCCTCCGGAGCACCGTTACTGAGATATGACCCTCCAAAGGAGTCTTATCATTTGAATATTTTTTAAAATAACTTTCTTTCTGATTAAGATAATGGAATGAAAATTGTAGGTAATAATCATACCATAAGGGTCTTTAACTATCGTAAGTTTCATCAAAATCGGTTATAAATAAGAATAGTTTTCTAACTACCCTTAACAGAAATTTTTCGATTTTTTTTTATTCCTTTCAATTTATCAAGTAATTAATATTATTTTTTAATGAATTTGACTTTTTATTATTTTTTAAATAATGTGTGGCTCAGAACAGTAACTTTTTTTTAACATTTTCACATAGTAGGCGTCTTTCATGATGATAGTTTCGTTATAATGATACTAATGATTGTCACTTTCGCGTGCTATCGTTTAAATTCTTACGTTTCTTAGTTATGATCTTTGTGCTTGGCTTGAAGGTTCCATTTAAAATTTTGAATTTGATCTTCAAACGACCTTTGAAATTAAGGTCAAGGCCATTTTCAAGGTCATGTCAAGATAGACCCCCTTTTCCCCCTACAACTTTTGTATGAAACATACTCCATTTCTCAAGATTCTTGTATTTTTTTTTGTTTTTTTTATGGCCATGTTATGGCCAAAATATGGGTTAAATCGAAAAAATAATAAGAACAAACAGTTTTTTTCGTTTTTCAATCGAAATCCGTGGTAAATAATGGGTGTTCCATTAAAAAATCAACTTCTATCTATCTAAAACACCACTTTCGGTCTAGACCGAAAGTCGTAATACGGACCTTTCAATGGTCCCCTCGGTGCCCTACAATTTTTGACTGAAATTTTTTTCGAAATAATCGAGTGCAACCGAGATATTATTTTGTCTATAAATGCCCCACCCGGTATATAATATAATGAAACCTTTACTGTTCCTAGGACAGTAAATTTAATAAAGATGGATTTTTAAGTAAAAAATTTATATCATGCTATTAAGATCTCTAGCGGTTTCATATTTGCTCTTTGCGTTTTCCGTACCTAATGGCTGTCATCCGTTAGTTTTGATATATACTGATGGGCTTGATCTTTTGTAAAGTTCGAATATTTTCCAGGTTTCCAGGTTCTTTTGGGCTTGAGTCAACCGATTTTATTAATGGTGAAAAACTATCAATTTCATAATTAATTTAATTTAATCATAAATTCCATGAAACACAAATTTTGGTCAGCAAGTAGAGTATATCGAACAATATATAAGAAACAAATGATTTTTAAGTTTTTCAACGTACTATTTCATACTCGTTAACTCTTATTCAATTTGATTTCATAATCCTAAACATGGAAATATGCAACTTTTTTGTAATTTAATCAACTCGTATGTCTCTTACAATTTAGACGATCCTAATACTGTTAAAAGTAACTCAGTAGATTACAGATCATCGTACTCATTCTTTCGAAGTGTATATACAACAACTGTATGACCTCATTTCTAATGTCGTTCCCAACACCTTATCATTATTTTAATAATAACGACTCATCTGTTTACAGGAATCAAACATTTCAGTTATGTATCTGTTATTAAATAAATCACCTGATTATCTCTAACAATAATTGAGTAATATAAATATTTATTTTATACTCGGAAGCACTACAATTCCTGTCACAAGATAAACAAGACAAACTTGCGGTTTAGAATAAAAATAGAAAAGTTATGGGTATTTATGTGTTCTGTATATTAATTTGTGACACGAAAATAAAATAAATAAAGTCGTATATACTTTTTTTGTTATTGAATATTTCCGATGTTAGCAATTTATCGGTCTACTAACACTAACTGATATTGATATTAATAAATATTATTAGGAGTAAAAATCACGTAATTTGCCACTTTTCCTAAATAAGTAGGTGTTTAGCGGAATATTTTATTTTATCGATTTCAGTAGCTACTAAATAGTCATGTATTTGTCAATAAAAAAATTATTTACTATAAAGCAGTGTCCAATCAGTGCAAATATATTAAAATTAACAAATTATTCGTCAGTACGATACAAGGCGGAAGATAGCGCAGCTTAGAGAAGAGAGCGTCGCACAGTTCCAGCCTATTAACCAGCAATTTGCTTTGAATTAAATAATTAAAATAGTTTTTTGATATAGTAGCACTTGCTAGTTGTCGGCCGACATAAAACCACTTACAATAAAATTTAATTCAATCTAAGTTTGTGATAATCTGACAGGAAACTAAGTGGAGATGCATTAAGTGCAGTTAATACTCTTAAAATGTTTTACAAGTCGTTATAAATAGGTTTATAGTGGTAACATTTCAGGGGAGACATATTTTGAATACCTCCGTGTGGATAAAGAATGAAAGATGCATTTGATGAAAAGATTTTGCTATGCGAACTTTAAAATTTCCAAACTGAAATGCTTGGAAATTGTAAAAGATTATAAGTATTATACTTAAAGCCCATCAAAAAATATTATTTAGACAACTTTGTCATATTATATAGTTTCGGAATTGCTTATTTGATTAGGAAGTGTATTAATTTTATCATTTATTTCGTATTTTATATCTAAGATGCATTTAACTGATTTTTACAAAAGGAAAATTTCATTTTAGTATTTTTATTGAAAGAAATTTCTGAACACGTGGTATCGCTGCGATAAAATTTGGAGGACGTGTTGCGTGTTGTTGAAAACAAATAATCCTAAACCGCACATACGTATTTTCCATACACCATTTGTATCCTCTTCGAAGAAACAACTAAGACAAAACAACAACGACGCAACTTTACGGGAAAAATAAATCTGTGTGTGATAGACTAGACCATCTTACCCATTACGTGTTTGGGGTCGCTCAATCCGAATCCTGTGTCCGTTTAACTTAGCCCTTATTCAAGGTTATGTGAAGGTCAACTCTTGTTTTTTGATAGTAACAAGATTTCTGACACTGCATTCTGAGGCGAAAAATTAAGTTCGAAGACGTAGTTATTTTTTTATTTTCAAAATCGTTATAAGATCAAATCACCGTTTCGAACTTCTCAAGTTAGTATCTGGTGACCTTGGAATTGACCTTGAAGATCAGGGTCAAGGTTATTTGAAGGTCAATTCTTGTTTTTTGAAGGTAATTCTTGGGAATATTGTAGGATGGATCATCCAACATGTCCTCTTTCGAATCACTGTCCATTCCGAGGTGGCAGGATTTCGAATATGCTTACTTTGAAACCAGTTATGCAAAAGCCATAAGCTGAGAGTATGTAGGTCCAAATTGTCGAATAAGAAATATGTCGTTGCCATTTTTATGTCTTCAATATCTTAAACACCAGATCTCATCATCTCACCCGTCAGAGTTGATTTTAGTGATTTTCATCAAAATGACCTTCAAGGTCAAATCTAAGATGACACAAACGATTTTTATAGATGTCATTATCCTGATTTCTTTTTATTCTATCGAGATACCAACCCAAGAAATTGGACAGGGGAATTGGACCTTTAAATGAACATCACTTATTCAAAATCCGGGATCAGAAATTGCATTACTCCAAAAAGAGAATTGACCTTCAACTAACCACAACGTTCTCAAAATTTTTTGAAGTAATTACAAATAATATTACAACATAGTAGGTACCCAAATTTCTTTCGAGAAATATTGTAATATTTTTGTGCAATCAATCATACCTTGATTTGTTTTGTAAATGAACTTGCACCAAGTAAGCTTCCTGTCCTTCCCAATCAAAGAGAACGTGTGGGAGCCGAATCCGTGTTGGTGTCTGTGACCATCCGGTATACCCCTGTCGGAAAATAGAAACATCACCTGGTGGGTGCTTTCCGGTCTCAGGCTGAGATAGTCCCAAAACATGTCCCAGTCCCTCAGATTCGTCACTGGGTTGCGTTTTTGGGACTTGATGAACATGGGGAAGAGAATGGGATCTCTCATGAAGAATATCGGAGTGTTGTTTCCCACAAGGTCCCATATTCCCTCCTCGGTGTAGAATTTTAGAGCAAAACCTATCAACACATATCGGAATTAAGAATTTTTTACTCTCCAGATTCCCATAAAAATGTTCATAATTATTTGATAATAAATAAGGAAACAAAGGATTTTAATTCTGTTTTTTTTTTATATCAATGACAATTTGAGAAGATAATACCTACAGGGTATTTTAAACTAAAAAAGTATTTTTTTTAATGGTAGGTAGGACCAATAATTATTTTCAGTAATCAAAATCATTGTAACTACAAAACGGACCTTGAAATTAATATCACACAAAATTGTTAAAACTTGTTGAGGACCCCTGAAATTATCCCCGACTTACATATTACATAAAAAGAGGTAAATAGTTGTGACCGTAAATAGACTAACGTAAAAAAAATGTTTATTAATAAATGCCAATAAACATGCTAGAATGGCCCATAATAGAGTAACATATGGTGGTAGTGCATGTAAACGTTCACACCCGTATATACAGCGGGCACAAGCTTGCACCGACACAGAGTTATCGGTGAAATCAGCGGTTCCAAAAAAGTATTTAGTAGGTATAAAAGAACATTTACAAAAAAATTTTCAACAATAAAATATTTAAGCAAATTGTACACTGTGAGTGTAATACTCGTGAAATAATTTTATCTATCTAATAAGTACAATTTAGAATATAGGAAATAGGAAAATATTAGGATTTTTTTGTTATATTTATCATATTTTCGTAATCTTAGACAAGTATACATATCTTAAATACCAATTATAAGTATATTTTAAGAGTTAACTATTAAATTTATGAATAAAATTCGCATGTCATATCACTGATAACTTTGTTACCAATTGCTGATAACCAATGTCAATAAAGATCTGTGATGTATGATAAATTTGTGTGTCCAATCACATTCAAATAAATGTTTACATTTTTTAATGTTATTTGTTGTATAATACATAATCACCAGTTACAATAGCTCCAATATTCTGTTAGATTAAATTTTATATATTTTTTATTTGCCAGTAATAGCCAAGTAAATAATTATTTACATAAATTTTAAACAAGCTGCAATTAAATTTCAAGTCCAGGAAAAAATCTTATCTTATATGCGCCGTATAAATATAACAAAGTAAGACTTCCTTAGATTTTTTTACTGTACTTGTATGTTTTTAATTGTTAAAAGTGCTGTTAATTCTGCGAAGTACTGTTCTATGGTATCTGTAATTAAAAATAAATCTCCATTACTACTGTAGTTGTTTGTTTAATAGCAGCATTAATTAAGTTAAATTATTATTAACCGAGAGGACAGTTATTTTAATCTAGCAGCATTTAACCGTTTAACGCTTAAACTACTACGCGAGGTGCTGATAACATGCATTACCCGATAATTACTTTTTTAGTGATAAAATAAACTTTATTACTTTTGTTATCGAATTGTCAGGTATGTACTAATAGTCCTTACCATATTATTGCAAACAGTAAGTGGTGATAATAAAACTCAGTAAAACTGTTAGCTGCACAGCATGTTTTTTAAAATAATTTTGGTGATACCTCGGGTGATACTTTTCAGATGAGCCCTGGCACCAGTGGCACCAGATGGTAGAATACATTAAAATAAACAAAAAAACTATTTCCGAGAAAAAAATTATCAAAATCTCCAACTTGACATACAAATGTTCGATTAATTAAGGAATATTGGCATAACTGCGTGCATAGAATACCATAAAATACAAAGTTTATCACTTTTTTTAACTTCTTTATGCTTAATTCTAAAAAATAAGCGTTGTAATAAATTTAAAATTCGATAAAATTCATAGCGAGCAATGTGATAACGGCGCGGCGGATAACACGAGGTACTAAGCTATTCAGTTGGTATTTGGAATTGGACCATGTCTGAGTGTTTTTTGAATACTATTATTTCCGTTTCTTGAGGTGTTTTCCAGCGAGTGCGCGAAAATTGGATTCAAAGGTGTTGTGTGTGCATCAAAAATAGTGGTGGGTGGACATTTTGAGCATATGTTGTAGTTTATTTTGTACTTGTGTGTTTAAAAATTACTGAATTTTGCGTTACCTACCTAAATTATTTTTAATACGTATTATTATTTGGACGACGTGAATCTTTGGATACTTTAACTACATACGTAAGTCCGCGTGCACACGTAGTATGCACCAGCTGTGTAGCGTTAGGTTAAGCGATGTTGTCACGTTGTGATGAAACTTCCCAATATTAATATTCGCTGTATTTTGAAAACTGTTAATCTTACGCCCCTGTAATTTACAACTTTTTTGTTCATTTATGATTACTCCATCTCATGCTGAAGTAATGGCAGTCAAACTTCTTACAGCCTGTGTAGTCATTTGGTCAATAAAAAAATTATTTTTAAAAAAATATATTTGTATTTTTACTGTAAAAAGCGAGGTAAAAAGTATACATTTATTCCCAAAATAAAATTGAGTCATCAGAAAAGTTTTAAGATAAAAGATGTAAAGAACTAATTTTTTACAAAAATAAAATGGATATCTAGTAATAATAATAGAGTAATAGACCTGCTCAACAAAAACTATTCTGATTTTGACAAAAATTTTGAAATGTAACACAATCCTACAAATTTTATTTGAAACGATTTTGTAGTTATTCAACGAAAAATGAGTTTGACCTCGAAATTACCTGAAAGACATACTCGTATAGGAAAAATTTTCCCTATACTAGAACGTACAATTTGGCGGACTATAGATATTTTATTATAATTTATGCTCAGAAAAAGCCTCAACATCTTCTTCTTGAAGGAAGAGATGAATCTATTTTGAACAGTTTCTAATAACATTTTAAATTATAACTCAGTTTATTCGTTTTTTGACTTACTTTTTTGAGCTACTGTAAAATATAATCTTATTTTTATAAATTTTGATTACCTCTGGGGTCTCGCACTGTATCAGCAGATCCAAGGTTGCCAGCGACTTGTGAAAACCTTACTGCAATGTTTGTCTTCTTTCCCACATACTCAAAGACTTTAGAAACGGTATACTTTGAAATGTCATGAGTTACCTAAAAGAAGGACACTCATATTTTTTAGGTTTTTAGTATTGTATGATGGTTTTTTTTTTAAATATTTACTTTTATCAAATTTTTCTCAAGACCGCAAGTCTTTTTCGTTAGGTGGAAAATTACCTCGAAATACCCAAAAGCTCCGGCCCCTTTAGCGTGTACCACTCTTTCCGGTATCCTTTCTCTGTTGAAGTGGGCGAGCTGCTCGAATAGATTGAAATCCTCCAACACTATGGGGCCGTATTTTCCCACTGTGATGCTGCTGTCTGCGTAAGGCACTGCCACACCGGCCTCGCTGGTGACGTAACCAATCTGGGACTGAAACAAGGGTGAAATTAATTAATGTATGTTTCTTATTTTATGAACAAGTCAAGCGCAGATTGCGTAGATTTGTCGGAGCACACATGTTGGTAAACGTAGAAAATGCCGCATCGTGTGGATGGTGCATATCGACACATCAAAAATACATCTTTACTTGCCAAGTATTCCCTTAAAAATTGTATTCATTAAAAATTTGAGGAGATATTTGTCACATGTATTTCTGTACATCATGTGTATTATACAACTTCGCACAATACATTTTTCCCAAATAGTATGTTTTATGTTTGGCAATTGTTCGGCGAGTGACCGCATCATCTGGACTCGGCTTAAGAAAAATAAACGAATATTGACTTATTGGCTAACACATGCTAAAACTATATAGAGTTCCATAGATAGCTGGGTTATGTTCGTTAGGTATATTATGTATTTACATTACCTTGTACATATATTCTCATTTTAGTATTCGTTTAAAATTTTATTACATTCTGCCATATCTACTTGTAGTATAGATGTTTTCTATAGATCTCCTCTATGATAATTATTTCTCGAATAAGTACCTCCCTACATGTCGCTTAAAAACAGTATAGATATTGCAGTGCTCATCATCAGCGACGACAAAACTGCTTCTATAATAAAAATATTAATTAAAAATAGTTTGAGGTTATTGAACCTCTCCCTAAATTATTTGGTAATAGTCTCCGGATTCCCTGTATGATAATATGCAAGTAATTTAGAATTTAGACTCGCGATTGTTTAAGTATTCAGTTCTGGCACATATCAGAGGTTTTCTATATAAAATGAAGTACCTAGAAACAACCATCTGCGGAAAAATAACAGGTAAAACGTATTTTAAAGCAAGCACGATATGCCGCGGCTACATGCCGCACAAATTTAAAAATAACCGCAAATAGCATCGGCAACCTTGCACGAGTTTCAATGCATGACATTGGAGTGGCTTCTTGCTGCATTCCGGGGATTGTTTGTAAATGGATAGTTGACAAATTGATGAACCTTGCGAAATATGCGCCTTTGAAAACAATGTCGCGGACTTTTTCAACGCACCTTCTGTCAGATAGTGATTTATTAAGCCGATGCCTTACCTCTTTTTTTTCTGAAAACGTTATGGTTTGCATGACATTAGAACAACAAACTATTTTTGTGGTTCATTTATGCTTTTACGTAATTTAGAAAGGTAAAGATTTCTATAATTTTTAAATTTTATCTAAAAAATAGCCAATAACAAATTAAGTTTTTTAATACTACAAGACTTTCATAAGAGCAGTTTATAAAATATTGATACATGCAATGTTGATGGCTGTTAGTACTTGGATGAGTTACCATACGGTGAAAGCTCGCGATGTTCGTCCACCTTCTTGCGTGAATTTTGGACAACCCGATATTTAATTATGATTTTCTAAAAATATAGTTTAAAATGAAAGACCATCAAAAGTGAACTATGGGCAAATGGTCGCTTTTGGAATATAACAGTTTTATTAACGGAATGTGTAAAAATGTATTTATGTGCAACAGGATATTATTAACAGTATGTGTACAAAAATGTAACTGCTGAATATTGAAATAGGTATTAAATAGTGTAATCTTTATAAGAAGAAATCTTGTTTTATTGATTGAGATTAAAAAAAAATGCAGTTTTTTTTTAAACATCGCTTGAGGGTATAGGATTGTATCGATTATATCCAAAAAACAGGGTTAAAAGGAACTATAATGTTCAAGCAATTTTATTGCATGAACCGTTCAAATGGTCATTTTAAATGAAAAAACCGCACGGTGCTATTAAATTAGAGGGTTGAGATAGGGGCGAAAATTGAATTTTGCAGTTTTTTAAATATAGCACGAAAACGAAGCAAAATTTCGGTAAAGTTCATAGGAAAAATTTTGTAGAGAATTGAATTTCCCATCGAAATGGCTTATTTAAAAAATTTTAAAGAAAAATTTTATGCAAAAAATCGTTAATAAACAATTTTAAAAGCAAAATATAAAAGTTTTTGATTTTTTTTACTTTTTTGACTAATTTATGTTAAAAACGACGAAAACCTAAAAAATATTTAAGTTTGACCGGTTATAATATAACTCGGTCAATATTAGTCCAAAAACTTTTGAAAACGCATCATTTTGAAGGGAATCTCATCTAGTTTTTTGGTACAACTATTTTCTTTGCCTACTTCTGCTAAAAAAAAAATTGGGACAAAAAATTTTTAAAAAAATCTAATTTTTTACCTTTTATAAAATAGTTTAACGATTTTTTGCATAAAATTTTTCTTTTAAATTTTTTAAATAAGTCATTTCGATGGGAAATTCAGTTCTCTACAAAATTTTTTCTATGAACTATACCGAAATTTTGTTTCGTTTTCGTGCTATATTTAAAAAACTGCAAAAGTGCATTTTCACCCCTATCTTCAAGTTCAACCCTCTAATTTAATAGCACCCCGCGGTTTTTTCATTTTTAATTACCCTTCGAACAAGTCATGTGATGAAAATCCTTGAACGTCTTATTTCCTTCCTTTTTTGCAAAAAATGAGAATTAAAACGTAAGGGTAAACGCGACGAAAATCGAAAAATTGGCTAAGTGTGAGCGGTCAAATCAATCAATTCTCATCCAAAAATACTGTAAGTACAGCCTCTTTTTTTAAGGAAACATCTACTTTTTTTTATGAAGTAATGCCTATATATTTATCTTTGCTAAAGAAAAACTAGAGGTAAAAAAAGTAAAAAAAAAAATAAAAAGTCGAATTTTTTGCTTTTTTTCAAATAGTTTATTAACGATTTTTGCATAAAATTTTCCTTTTAAATATTTTAAATAAGCGATTTCGATGGGAAACAATTCTCTAAATAATTTTTCCTATGAACTATAGCGAAATTTTGCTTCGTTTTGGAGCTCCCAATTAAAAAACTGAAAGGGGTGCATTTTCACCGCTATCTCCATTTTCCACCCTCTAATTTAATAGCACTCCGCGATTTTTTCATCTAAAATGACCATTTGAACAATTCATGTAATAAAATATCTGATTTGAATTATACCTTACTTTTTTCCTATATTTGGGATAAAATTAAATATTTTTTGCTATAGAAATATTTTTGTTGGCGTTTCTTTGCCATTATTATTGTTCGTTGTTGATACTGCTAACTTAACAACATAATAAAACAATAAGATTGCCAGTAATAGCTAATAAAAGTTCCTAGTCCTGAATCTTCCAGTAAAGTCGTCATCATTTCCCCAATTTATATTACTTTGGAGAATTCTAATGAAATAAACAAACTGATATGTTTTATAGAATTCAACTTACTAAATTTTTAATTAATATTAATAAAATAGTTATCTATCAGACTTTTTGTTTCATAATTAATTACACTTATCTAATTTTTCCAAGATTAATACTTCCTTATGCAATCATTCATATTTTAAAGCTGGCACCTATTCATATTTCTGAATTGTTCAGGTAAATTTTCCCACAGTCGTGAACATGGTGCTCTCTATTTCATGTGGGAAACTTTTATGTTGGTTTGTTTTATTTAAACGGTCGATATAATTATAAAAAACGATATTATAACACGACCTTGTTCACGGTTTTATAGTCGTGATACGATACGTGTAATTTATATGTCTAATGGATACTGATAAAAGATATAGTCAGTCTGGCTTAACACAGTAATCCGGTAAGAGTTAAGAGACCTATATTTGACAGATGGACCATCGCCATGCGCCATAGTAAATTCCTTGTTAATTCGTGTTCTACTAACAGGTATTATTGTTCCGGAAATTATATAGTTATCAGTTTTAAAATCGTGACATGTAAAGTTAAGTCGCCCACGTTCAAATGATTTCGGTTAGCGTATGAGACGTAGGCCTCTTAATGGATTGCTGCCGGGAATCACGGCGACATGTGTACAAATTAAACATGTTCTATTATGCAGCAGCTAATGTTTATTAAACAGACCCCGATAAAGATGTGTTATCCGAGAAATGAAAACTGCTTCGCTGAACAACGCCTCGGGCGGGATGCATTAAAAAGTTCCTCGTTGAGTTGTCGGAATAGTTGCGGCATTAACGCCGCGTTGAGAGGAAATGGGGAGTTGCAAAGAGGAAATGGAATGATATAATTATGTTTTCGTTGTGTGCACTTTACTGAAAAGAGTTGGCCTTCTGAGGCTGAACATTGAAAAGGCCGAATTAAATATTAAATAAGCCAAATTGCAGGGTTTTATTCTCGTTCACATTTCGTTTTACATTGAAATCAGTCATTAAAAAGATGCGCAAAAGCTAGGAAAAGTACAAGAACCAGACTGGAAAACGGGGACAACTTAGAATTATCGTCGATATTCGTCTGTTACAGTATTTTAACAATGCCTTCTGCTTTGTTGTATGAAATGTGTCTATACAGGGTGATTCATTAACGATATCGAGCGGCTGTATATATGAAAACATCTATTAGCAAATACGACCAAAAGAAATTGATTTAAAATATTTTCAAGTTTGTAACTTCACCGCTAGAGGGCGCAACTGCTATAGTGTTACAGAAAATTGTCGGTTTTTCGAAATTTCACTTATATAACCTAAGTTGCAAATACATTTTTTAGATACACTGTTAAACCTTTCACAAGTTTTGTTTGAACTTTTTTTTGTTATTACCATAGCAATGCCAGTATGAAGGTCGCTATATTGAAATTTTTAAATTGTCATAACTTCTAAATGCCTTAATCGATTTCAATAAACGATGGCTCATTTTAAAGAACTATGAATAAAATTTATTTTTATGATATAGGAATGAAAATATTATTTTCCTGCGCAACGGTAGACGATGCTAATGAGAAAAGTTTTGTAATTGTCTCCGTTTACTAAAAAAATAAATGCAACGATATAGGTTTTTTCATGGCTTGATAGACCATTCATTATAGAAAACAAATACACAAACCGGAGGTCGATATCTCTGCTTTATTTAGTTCTCTAAATAACATTGACATAAGATAAAATTAAATTG